ACACAATTAAGTGTTATTTTTTTAAAAAAAAACTGGTGTTCTTCTTGGATGTTAAATAGCTTCAATGAATCATTGCAAACCAACTTTTAAACAGATGAAGCCTGCACCGTGTGGTCTTGCCTTGTCTCTCCATTGATCTTGTCTCCCCGTTGATTCAAAGCCAATTCAAAGTCTGAACCCTTTAAAATCGGATATATAGACACACATGGTTCCTTCCAAATTGTGTAACATTCTAGCCTCAAGAAATCCATCTCTGTTCATCAACAGACAAATTGTTCAACTTGTATGCCCGCCCTGGTTTTGTATTAGAAATGCGAAGAAGGAAACCGTGCCCCCCCTCCCAAAAAAAAAGATGTAAGCAAAACTCTCCGGAAAAATAAAATCCAATTTGTTGGTCAATTTAGAAAGGCTGTGGCTGCTTAGTGATAAAAATCACAACTTCACGTGGCTTGCATTTTGCCTATGGCGGCCTTCGCTTCAGTTCAGTTTGATCTCTCCTGTTCCACTCCATTGCTGCCCCTCCCTTTTCCGTACACAGCTTTCTCTTGTTATCTTGGAAATTTTACATTCAAAGAAGTATTTTCTTGGTATGTCTGTAGGTTACATTGCTAAACTCTTGAGCTGGGCTTATGAAAACCTAATTTGAACGCTTCTTTAGAATCTCAGCGTAGTTTGCTTCTGATCTTAGCAGATCCAAAGTCTCAGGAAACTTATGTGTGGTTGAAATTAATTAGATTGTTCTCTCAGGATAAACATAAATATAAAGTAGCATCTTAAATGCTGTTCAGAGTATATGTGTGATAACAGACTGAATAGAAATGCTCTATTCCTGTGGTGGCGGACCTACGGCACGCATGCCACAGGTGGCACCCAGAGCCCTCTCTATGGGCACACGCACCATCGTCCCAGTCCTAGGCCTTCAGCTGGGATTTATCAAACATTTTCGCTTTAGGCCTTCGCTGCCATGTGCAAAAAAAAAAAAAAAAGGTTCAATCAATCAATCAATTTCAACTTCTCGCGGGGAAAAAAAAGATCTTGCAAAGTTGGAATTGATTGATTGAACTTTTAATCTCACCCAGTCTGCCGTTACCACCACAGCCACGCCCACCCGATGGGTCACACCCACCCAATGGGCCACGCCCACCTGGCACCCGACCATACATAAGTGGGTTTTGGGTTGCAGTTTGGGCACTCGGTCTCTAAAAGGTTCGCCATCACTGCTCTGTTCAAATGATCTTAGGAATCAAATATAACCAAAACTGATTATTTAGTCTGTGAAAGGGAACAAGAGAAACGAGTTTTTTATTTTGACTGAGAAAGGGAACTCTTTGAAAATTAAACTTAAGAAAAAGAAGAAAAAAACTTGGCAGTCTTACTTTCATTGTAAGTATATCTGGCGTGCAGAAAGATTGCCTTTTATAAAAGCCCAGGAAAGGAAAATGATCGTCCTTATCATTTTCTCAGAAGTTAAAGCAGTCTTGTCTCTGACTTAGTTAATTTAATGAGTTGCACTCTATTCAATATTGCTTTGTGCAAAATGTTGCAAGCCGTTGTCTTGTTAGAAGGGTCCAACAATGGGAAGTCAGCCCCCCCCAGAGAAGGAAATGTTAAAGGGCAGAATATATTTCCCTAAAGGATTTTAAAAACTCTACTCCCAAGTTTCTCTGTCCCAAGCAGAAACCAAGTCTGCAGAATTACAGATGTGATAATCTTGTCAGAAAGACTGGAGTCAGGAAACTGGGATTAGGAAGAAAGATCCCTAGAATCAACACCAAAAATCTAAGAGTCATCAGCCACAGCCACAGGGAAGCAGGATATGATCTTTAGGACATAATAGGATTAACCCACCACCATCAGAATACTAGAAAGGCACACTCAGACTCAGGTCAAAGTTCATGCCACAGGAACAACTCCAAACAAAAGGCTCAAGAAGGTATAAAAACCCACTCCCTACATGTGCTCACCCTCTTTTCTGCCAGAGCCATCTTTCTGTCTGGCTCTCCTCTTCAATAAACTGCAACCTTCTTTCTAAAGCAGTCATCATGTTGTTTATTCCCGGCTTGGACTGGACCCTGATGAAGACTTTTCCTTCAACACAAGGAAGTCAGCTAATGGACAAAAATAGTTTTAAATGATTATGTTTACATCATCAATATCATTAACCAAATACGACAGTCCTGAAGACTTAGAAATTCCTACTAACTAGAGTTACGAATAGGCCATTTTCACCGATAGCTTTATTTAAGAGGTTTACATTATGAAGGATAACGTACATAGTAGTGTTTAATTTATACGCTTCGAGTTCATTTAGGGCTTGACTGCTGTGAAACCCATCACTGCGAATAAAAGAGAGCTTAAGTCAATGCTTCTATGATTTAAAAGCCATTAATCCACAAAAGCAAATTGCTAAGCACTTCCTAAGTTGCAAGGCGCATCTTAAATTAAGGGCGATGCCTGCAACTGCTTTAGAAAATTGCTACTGTATGCTTCCCTTGTAATAATTAGAAGTTTATACAATAGGGGATTGTTGGTAATTGGCTGCTAGCTTAGCTTGGTCATTTTTACAGCACTGCGGGTTGCCATGACGGATGTCTTGATTTAGAGAGTTTTGGGTTTTTCATTCTTTCAGAGTGCAATATTTACCATCTCTCTGTTTTCATTAGTTGGGAAAATAAATCTTATGCTTGTACGCAAGGATCCCTGTTTAGGAAATCTCTGCTGTTTATCGTCTTCTTGTTGCTATTTCCTACCTTTATGGCAAAATTTTGAAACTCCCCCCCCCCCCCATATTTCCAATATTTTTTTTTCAGAGTCTTTGCAATAGATCATGTTTTTTTTTCAAATTTTCTCCAGTTTCTTCTAAACACGAAGAGTTTCATTGCTTCTGTCCCTTCACTTTTCTCGGACCGCAAAGCGGCAAAGGAATGAGATTGCCCAATTAATCACGCAGCCTTTCGCCGATTCAAGATTTGTGAACATGTATATTAGTGTATAATATAACATACCAAAATACAAAAGAAAATACTGTGGTAGGAAAATAAGGGAGGGAAGAAGGGAAGGAGAAAGTGTAGGGAAAAGGGGGGAAAAAGAAAGAAAATAGCATCAAATCTCAACTTTTTACTGTTGCATAGTAGTGTAAACTAGCCATTTCTATAATAATAAACCTATCTAATCGGTAAAACCCAAAATCAAAGTTTCATTTTTTTCTCCCACCTCAAGCACAAAGTCCAGAAGTGGTTTCCAAGTAGAAACAAAAGCAATTGTGTGGGGTTTTTTTTTCTTTAATCAAAGCAATCAATTTAGCCATCTCTGCTAACTCCATAACTTTTGTAGCCCTTCATCCATGCTGGGAATCAAAGTGTCCTTCCATAGGTATAGGGTTTGGACTAGATGACCTCCAAGGTCCCTTCCAACTTTATTATTATTATTATTATTATTATTATTATTATTATTATCATCATCATCATCATCATCATCATCATCATCATCATCATCATGGTGCATAAAGTAATCTTGCTGCCGTCAACATATATGACATCAAAGTTCCAATATTTTTTTCCCCGAGTCTTTTTCCATTAAACCCAAAATGAGAGTTCCTAATTTTATCTTTTTTTTGTTTGCTTGTTTGTTTATTATAATTTTTATGTTTTAAACCAACAAAACAAGACAAAACAAAAGATAACACACATACACACACAGTGTGTGCTCCTCTTTTTTTTTTAACAGCAATTTCGTAACGACACAGAGTACTATTTAATATGGAATAAGTGGTACGATTGGTTGGAGACGAGAAATAATAGAGGAGAATAAATGTGGAAAGGTCAACAGTGGAAAATGTGTGTATAATAATGTATAGTAAAAATAATATGTATTATTTTTAGTATGAAGCATAGTATGAAGGAAGACAAATGCAAACAAGAAACAACGGGACAACAAGGACAAATATATCTAAAGAAGAATAAGGGGGGGAAATGTAAATAATAGATTACCTGGTTTTATCTTTATATTCACTTTCAGAATCTTCTGTATTAAGATGCGAATCCTACTCCAATATTTCTTTGCTAGAATTGTGAACATATCTAGAACACGAAGCGAAGCAAGCAAGTTTATTTCAAAATGTAGAAACACACGAACTTAACGTGCAGATAGAACTGGCTGGTTTTGAATTAGCAAATGATTTTTTTTATTTTTTATTGCTTCAAAAAATAACAAAACACGATCTTAAAACTTTGGGCCAGGGCTGCTCATTACACACCTACAGTACTACGTATGCTCTTTGCAACAGATGAGTAATTCACATTCTAACGATTGGTGTTTTTTAGGAACGATTTACATCTCTGACAGGTACAATCAAACAATCAGAATAGAGTTGGAAGGGACCTTAGAGGTCTTCTAGTCCAACCCCCTGTTCAAGCAGGAGACCCTATACCCTTCTGGACAAATAGTTGTCTGATTTCTCCTTGAAAACCTCCAGTGATGGAGCACCCACAACTTCTCAAGGCAAGCCCTTCCACTAGTTCAGACATGTCAAACACAAGGCCCGGGGGCCGGATGCGGCCCGCGAAGTGGTTTCATGTGGCCCACGAAGCCATCCTGGAAACAGTGAGGGAACGGCCCCCTCTGCCTTGGCTCTGGCCCTGGTTGCGTTTCTTGCCTGTTTTTCTCCCTCCTTCATCTCAAATATTTTCCCACCACTCTGTACTTAGGAAGGAAGAAAGGAAGGAAGGAAGAAAGAAAGGAAAGAAAGAAAGAAAGAAAGAAAGAAAGAAAGAAAGAAAGAAAGAAAGAAAGAAAGAAAGAAAGAAAGAAAGAGAGGGAGGGTCTGAGGGAAGTCCTGCCTTAGTCCTTCCCTGCTGCCCTTTCGCCATCCCCTTGCCCCCTCCTCCTGGCCCGTTCTGGGGGTCTCCCATCCTATTACTAAGGAAGCTTTGGATACAAAGCCGGGTCTCCTCCCATGGAGAGGGAATGGGCCTCCCTCTGACTTTGCCCTTGTACCCATCATGAGCAACCTGGCTAAGGAGAGTAAGCACAGTAGCAGCAGCCTTGAGGAGGAGGCAAGTGCAGCTGGGCGCCCCCTTGGGGAAGTGGGGCTGGGCTTGGTGCCGCAGGTGCTCGAGGGCCAGGCTGGGCGTTTGACCTCTGCTGCCCAGGACTCCGGGCAGCCCACACCACCATCCCCCCCATGGCCTGAGAGGAACCGTGAGGCTCCTCCAGTGGACCATGCCTTGGCACTTGCCCCGGTCCCACCCCATTCTGCCAGAGACCCTCAGATCTGTCCCATTCCTGCCCAGGCCCCCACAGGCCCCCTTGACGCGAACGATGTAGAGCTGGCCATGCCCACCCAGTAGGCCACACCCACTCCACACCCACCCAGTAGGCTGCACCCACCCTGGCCACACACCCCCGGCCCCCCCGAAGGCAACCGCAATGCTGATGCGGCCCTCAATGAAATTGAGTTTGACACCCCTGCGCTAGTTAATTGTTCTAACTGTCAGGAAATTTATCCAATAGTTCCCTAGTCACAAATGCCACATCTGAGCAATAAGGCCATCATCGCCTCCTGACTTTCTGTTGCATATTAGTTTCTTTCTTTCTTTTTTTAATTTCCTGAATGAAAACACGCAATTTATAACAATTCAGAAACAAACAAAAAATAAGGAAGGGGATCCCCGAGGCTGCAAAGCTAGGAAGTGACTAATGCCTGCAATTATAAGTGAAGCAAAATCTTTAACTTGGAAGGAAATAGCCTTATTAGTCCCGCTTCCTGTTTTCCTATTAATCTGAGCGCGGTTATTATTATTATTTTTTTCCCAGGAGGCGTTGTAGATAAGGATCTCCGTCACTACCTCAACCTGCGGTTCCAGAAGGGATCAGTCGATCACGAGCTTCAGCAGATCATCCGAGACAACCTCTACCTCCGAACGGTCCCCTGTGAGTCAACATTCCAAAACACGCATTATATGTTTTCTTTATAGCGTGTCAAATCTATGGGTTTTTATGCATGCGCTGGTGAACAGGAGGAGTTGTGTTTTGATTGTGGTAGAATTGTGTGGCCATCTTGATTTCTTCTTACATTTTGGGCTCAGCCGGTGTTGAAAGTTTTGGGATTAACAAAGAATCCCGTTTCACCAGTTGCCTAATTCTGCTGAAAACGAAAATGTAGGGCGCTACAAGGGATTCTTAATAGGTGAAATATCCACCTATATTGTACGCAGATTTATTTTTTTTTAGTGGTGACTTAGTGGCTCTCCAAATTTTAACAAATGTTGGGAAGACGAAAGGATTGAGGGAACTGAGATCTGTACGTTAAGCGTCTTCTAACAAAAGTATTGTTTAAGATTATTCAATATACTCTTAATACTAAAAACATTAGTATTGCCTTTGACCTGCAAATGTTTGATATATACGTTATATTCCAATGCCTGGTAAAGAGAGTCACCATCCGTCAGTTTGACGACCATATAAATTTATTTAATAAAGAAAGAAATATAAGGGTGTACATGGAGATATCAGTCACGTAGAGGTATCAATCATAGAGTTAATAATAGTTGGAATGGAAGCATCTTGTGTAGTTTCATGAATTAGTAAATTGAAATGAGGATTTAGTTTTTCTTGCTAAGTGCTTTTAAACCAGCAGTGGAAATTAATTCTTTATTAGGATTGCTAAGTTTACATGACAGGGCGGTTAATGAAAGATTATTGTGGACGTTGTTCGTGTTGTACCGTACAAATATTTGCGAAGCTCAGAAATGAGTTTTTAAAATAATTGTGTAAAAAAAAAAGAAATATGTACAAATATTTGTTTAAAGTGGAGAGTTCATCAATAAACAAATGGTCTGAATACACTGCCTGAATTATAAAAAAAACCCCTATTGTTTCAAAGCTAGTGGCTGGCTAAAACTGAACAAAACCATCTTAGTGATTAATATAATTCTATTTCTACATTATCTCAGATGTGAAACTAAACTAAATACAAATAACAAGGGAGGCTTAACACGTTGGACTGTATTGTACGCAGATTATTATTTTTTAACATGTTGGACTCCCTGTTTTATGTGAACGGTTGCTAACCTCATTCTCAGGAACAATATTGTGCAATTCCAGGGCTCACGTTTTTCTAGTAGTGGATTCTGGAGAGGCTGGACTGAACGTTGAATTTTCCCGCCTTCTGGTTTGTTGTTGGGATGCAACTGTGGTTTTTGCCTACTCACTGGTTTTTGTCTGTTGCTGACATCCACCACTCTGCACCTCGGAAGGAATCTTTAGCTGAGTTCTCTGTTTTTTTATTATTTTCCTGTGGTGTTTCCACACAAAGTCATCTGCCTTTGATTTTCCTATATTGATGGATGTCAGGTCTGTTATAATAGTCTTGGGGGTGAGATCTGGGGCGAGTATTCTTGCTGCCTTCTGGATGATGTACGAAGTACGTGGCCTCCATATGCTGTTGACAGCTGTTCCACTCCAAGCATTGTCCCTCTACATATGGACTATAAAATTTGTCATATTTCCTTTGTGTCATGACCAGCAGTTTCTAAGCTGCTCACAATAAACTGCCCCCCGTTTAATGAAGTCATGTCTATGGAACACATTAGCACCACTCAGGTGACCCTGAGGACACAGGTAAACCTCCAAGTGGCCTCAACGACTCTCTAAAAAGAATGCAAATGACCAGCTATCTGCAAGGAGTATAAATCCTTCCGTTCCCCACCATCCAGTCAGAGCTGAAGAAGCTTCTTGGATGAGAAGCGAAACGCCTTCGAAGAAAGAAACAAGAAAGTTCATTTGCTTCCTTTGGGTCATGTTTTTATTCTTGTCTCAGCCACTTTTTTTTTTTTTTTGCATTTCTGTTGGTGTAGGAAACATGCTTTCTCCGTCGTAGCATTTGGACTAGTATCCCCCAAGGGATGTGTAAGGCTTCCATCCTGAAAGTCATTGAAATCCAGAGTCTGCTTCCAGGTCTTAGTTGTTGTTGAGCTCCTGTCAGTTTTTGTTGTTGTTCTGGTTGTTGTTGTTGTTGTTTTGTTGTTGTTATGCATCATGATCCATTTCCCAGTTGTTATTATCTCTTGCTTTTAAAGTAGAAGATGCAGAGTCTTCTGAGGTTGGGCACTCTCTAAATTATACTTAAATATAATGCCACCAAAATGTCAACGATGCTAGAGATAATTTGCTTTTCAGGATCCAAATCTGAGTCGCTCACTGGGACCAAAGTTTTATTCTTCCAAAAGCATTTGGGCTCAATCTTCTCTCTCTCTCTCTCTCCAGAATATGTGCACTGGGCTACGCATTTATTTATATGGTGCCTGGCTATGTATAGTTATTTAATTGTTAATTAGGGTGTAGATGGCTATTAAGTCGCTAATTGTTGTTCCCTTGTACCTCAGGTCCTAAGTACCTGACAAGCTGGTGGTAAATCAGGCTTCCTGTTCACTCCCAGGTTTCAATCACTTTTCTGGCTATTTTTGTCCTTGCTCGGCCAACAATCATAATAGCTGTGAAGTTGAATGCATGTTCTTCTTCACTGCAGTGTGAAGCTACTAATAAGTTTGGGTCTTATTGCTTTAGATCCGGGGTGGCGAACCTATGGCACGCGTGCCACAGGTGGCACGCAGAGCCCTCTCTGTGGGCACATGCGCTGTTGCCCCAGTCCTAGGCCTTCAGCTGGGTTTTATAAAACCTTTTCGCTTTAGGCCTCCACCGCTGTGCAAAAAAAAAAAAAGGTTCAACTTTTTTCAATCAATTTCAACTTCTCGTGGGAAAAAAAAAGATCTCGCAAAGTTGGAATTGATTGAACTTTTTAGTCCCACCCAGTCTGCCATTACCACCGCAGCCATGCCTACCCAATTGGCCACACCCACCCAATTGGCCACACCTACCTAATGGGTCACACCCACCCAGCACCCGACGATACATAAGTGGGTTTTGGGTTGCAGTTTGGGCACTCGGTCTCTAAAAGGTTCGCCATCACTGCTTTAGATCAAGAGTTTGCTGTGTGAGACCATTAGGTCCTAAAACAAAACTTGGTTGACTATATTACTAGTTGACAAAAACCCGAGTTATTGTTGACCACATAAGAAAGATTTGGAGACATGACCTTGCATATATGCTGGTTGAACATTCTACTCCAGTTGAGTTGTTGTATGTAAACCTGCACCATTTAAAGTCTTGTTCCCACTTTTATTGCTTGCATGATGAAACTTGTAATTATAAGATTCTCTTCCTCAAAGTGAAAGTGGGGAGGGAAAAAGAGAGAGAGAGAGAGAGAGATCGCTTTCCAAAATATATTTGAACTTAGCGTAACAAAGGGAAATTTAATTAAACAAGTGATCTGACTATGAAATTGGTACTGGGAAACTCAAACAAAAAAATTAATAACATTGGAAGTAATTTGATAAAGCAGATAAGTCGCTAACCTTGGCAGAAAGCAAATATTAAAACAAAACCTGGCAGCCTAGTTGTAGTTTATTAATAATATTTGACAAAGTCTACAGATTAAGATAATGTGGGGGGGGTTTTGCCAAGTGTTTCGTGCAATTAACATAAAATAACATGTATTTAGCTCTTTGCTTATTCTACTTGTATGCTGCCAAACCAATAAAGATAGCCATTTGAAACAATCCAAATAAACAATCATGCAATTAAAACATCCACGGTAAAATTGAGATCTCAGTAATTATAGAAAACATAAAAATTGATAACAACAAATTATACAACGGAGATACAGAAAGAGGTATATTAATATGAAAATAGAAACAGAATAAGATGGCAGCAGTCAATGGGACTCTATCATTTATGCCAAACAAGAGAAAGGCATGTGGCCAAATACAAATACCGGTAATTGGTACACTGAAGGTCAGTGACATATACCACTGTTCCTGGCATTTCCAGTTAAAATTGGAAAAATTCCTTGTGCTGGGGAAAATATCAGCACATATTCACTGGAAAGCAACTGCCAGAGGAGACAATTCTATTATAGACAAAGAAATATTTCTTTTGAACTCCTCAACAGCTTTAATAAATAGTTTTTGTTCAATATTTTATTATTTTTTTTATAATCACAAAGCCTTAATATTTTATCAGCAACATATTGTCTGGGTTTCATTATTTAGCTTACTAATATGTATTAAAGTCCTTTCTCTCTACCTCGTTTTTCTAGCCAATGATAAAATGTATTCCATGTTCTGAAATATTCTGAATCTTCCTTCTCTTTCATTTTCAGTGTCAATCTGTCCATTTCTGCACAATCTAAAATTTTCTTAATTATCTCTTCCTCCACTGGTAGTTCTTCGTCTTTCCAGTGCTGAGCAAATACAATTCTCACTGCAGTTAATACATGTAACATACATTAACTATACACATTCCTTTTCATAATTTCCTACAATTATACCTAACAAAAATGATTCTGGCTTAAAATCTATGTGGGTTTTTTTGTCGTTTTCTCTAACTATATATGTATTCTTGACCAAAATCTTTTGGCTTTAGGGCATGTCCAGCAAAGATGATCATATGTGCCTGGTTTTTGTCTACATTTCCAACCATTGCTAGACATATAGCTTTAATAAATATTTTTGATGTTTGATCTGCATTAACAGAGGGATAGAATCAAAATCACGTGAAGTATTAATACCACTTTACAATGCCTTGGTAAGGCCACACTTGGAATACTGCATCCAGTTTTGGTCACCACAATGTAAAAAAGATGCTGAGACTCTAGTAAGAGGGCAGAGAAGAGCAACAAAGATGATTAGGGGACTGGAGGCTAAAACATATAAGGAACGGTTGCTGGAATTGGGTCTGTCTAGTTTAACGAAGAGAAGGATTAGGGGTGACATGATAGCAGTGTTCCAATATCTCAGGGGCTGCCCCAAAGAAGAGGGAGTCAAGCTATTCTCCAAAATACCTGAAGGTAGGACAACTACCAATGGATGGAA